CCTATTTTGCACTGAGAAACTTCGTACTCTCAGATCTCTGCAATGGCTCCTTGGACATCGCCGCAAAGAATGTGTGAGCCTGAACAGAACGATAAGAAAATAATCAAGCATATGCACATACAAAGGTGTGGCCTGGTACTGCCCAGGGAGTGCGATGAACTTGGCCCCACTATACCTTAAAACTGACACAACGGATTCCAGCCTGTCTAAATCTGACCATAGAAAACAGCAGAATAGTATAGGAAGACCCCCCACCCAGTAATAGTGACTATAAGGAATAATAGGGATTATATTAGGGTCCTCTTACATTCCTATTATAGCCACTATTACAGGGTGGGGGTCCTCCTAAAGAATAGTGCAATGCAGCCTTGGCACGCTGACATGAGGAGGTTCTCCATTAAGCCTGCGATATGGAACATCGGCCTGGAACAGAGCAGCAAGATCAAACCAATGTAGTTATCCATTATTCTAATTAAAATACGAATACTAATAATGATAAAAACAGTAATAGGAACAATAGTAATAGAATTAATGAAAATAAAAATAACAAGTAATAGTAATAATAGTAATCATAACATTCATGATAAACAATAACTTCCAGGCCCACTGCCCCTGAGATTAATTTTCTACCCTAAAGCATAACCCCAATATATACCCTATCATAGAATAGTAGTTTCCATTTTCTTTTCCATTCTCCCAAACCAAACCCCTAAAATATTCCAATATACTACAAAGATTGAGGAGCCTATAGTTCCAGAAGAATCCGCAGCATTTCCCGCAACTTGAGCAGAGCTTTGTGGCCCTGAGACACCAGCATCGTGTTGATGAAGACATCATCAGGGGTGAGCAGGTTGGCAGCCGCATGGCACATGCCGCCGATGGCCATGCTTTCGTGCCTCATGCACTCAGAGTCCCCATTATAGCATGTTCTCTTCCATTCTCCCTACTAATAGCCTCTAAATAGCCTATTTGGTGCTAGTTTCCATTTTCTTTTCCATTATCCCTATTAATAGGGACAAAAGAGGACTGCAAGGAAAGGGTTGCGCACACCCGAGCGGATTTGCGCACAGGCAGCTGCACGCTGAGTCGAAAGTCTGTCAAGACTACGGGAAAGGGGCAAGGCTTCAAGGTGCTTCTCAGCCAAGAGCGTGATTGGCACAATCTTCGGCTTCTTTGTAGTGCCCGAAGTGTGGAGCACGAGACAAACCTCGCCATCTCAACAGCCTCTGCACGCTGCGTTGCAAATGACTCTTCAGGTGTCAGGCGTGATCCCGCTTCACCGTTTCCAGCGGTGGACCCAACCTTCACAGTATCTGGCCCTAGGATGGAGAATGAAATGGAAAAGCAAATGGAAAATGAAATGGAGCCAGTGCCAAAGACCCTTGCTCATCTGCACCAAGTTCCAAGCTTTTCTCCCGTCAACGGTTTGCCAGCTGCATGCTTTTCGATGGTAAACAGCCCAGCCACTTCCGGCCTCAAGGTATCTCAACGTAACAGATTCACTTAAAGTTGGCAGGATGCCAACGAATTCATGCCCGTTTTGTTGCTTCTGAAAGTTGACGCGGCCCAAACAAAACTTGCAATCTGCAAGAAAGCTTGAGGTGGTCTGCAACAGAGGCTGCGGCGACGGAGTCAGTTGAAGAATGATTTGGATTTTCTTCTTTCGAGCCTGAGAACTAAGCTTCGGAAACAGGCTTTGCCAATCAATACGTTATTGCAGCACTGCCGCCTGTGCCACCGCAGTTGTTGTTGCCTGAGCACAGTTCAGCCTGGACAGTCTTGCCGGAGACACTGTATAGGGGCCTAAATATATCATGGTTCCATATTCCTTGTATAATGATAATATATGGTACATCAAATGAACCTCAAATTGATATTGGTAACTATTAATTTAGGCCCCTGTAGTACTGCATGGATCGCTGAAGGCAAGGCAGCTTTGTCTTCGGCATCCAGGCCATCTGCTTTTTGGACGACCAGACCCTGAACAGCCGAGTTACACGGGCTTTACCAACAGAGTCACATGGCTCACAGGCACCCCCGCAAGCCTTGCAGGGAAGGTCGTCGTACTCGAAATCAAACTCATCCGCCTTAGGCTGGATCATTCGCACCCTACCACCGGCCTGACTCCAAGCAAAACAGATGGCGCCCAGCTCGCAAGTAAAGATTCAGCGGTGCAACAGTGCAGCGGACTGCAAAAGCCTCAAGTCACGAAGTGGCAAAAATTGCGGCACAAACTTCATGAAGCGATTGCATCGGAAACCACACCCTGCTCAGCTGTCTGCCAAGTAAGCCACTGCAAGCTCAGGTCCAGTTGGAAACACCAGACAGAGCCGATCCTCGCTGCATGCAGACATCCAAGGTCTTAAGGTATATAGTATATTGTAAGACGTGCATGACGAATACGAGGTCCCGAAGATTGAGGCCGCATACTAGGGGCCCATACTTTCAACCCTCCAGACAAAACGGAAAGAACAGCTACGATCATGCGCGACAGTCCTCTCGACCCATACCCGGGATATCGTTCTTCTCGTCGACAATGAAGGCCTCGAAATTCCATTTATTTCGACAATCTGTAAATCACAAGTCAGCAACATGCAAACCCTAACCCGAATATGGTTCAGGGTTGATCTAAAGGTCATTTGACAAAAACGTTGGGAAGAAAATACAGGGAAATGATTTTCCGCTATGGCCATGCTGGAAACAACCCTGAACCATATTAGGGTTTAGGGTTTAAGGTTTAGGGTTCAAATCTAAGGTTTACCTCTCTCCATTTTCTTTTCCATTTTTCCCTATAGAAGCCTATATTACCCTATATAACCCCATTGTAGTTATGGGCTTAGGGTAAAAGATTTAGGGTGCCATCTGGCCTTAAGCTCCTTGAAGCTCAAAGGGCGTCGGCCATCGGTAGAGAAGAGAAACGGTTCATCCTGGCAGTTCTCTGTGACATATTATGGGTTGAGGGATTCCCAAAAATTAGAAGTGCCTTTAAAGGGGATATAGGGGATATATGGGGATTCTAGAGGGTTTAGGGCTTAGGGTTTAGGGTTTCCAAAAAAATTAGGGGTGCCATTTTTGAGGAGTCCCCAAAATAAGGATTGCCGTATTTTGGGGTCTATATTGGGGCCCCCTGGTTTCGGAAACCCACATATGGGAGAAGATAAGGGTATACATGGGCTTTGCAGGCGGTATATAGGGGTGTAATAGGGTATATAGGGTTGTATAATATGCAGGGTTGTCGGGCGTATGTATATGGGGATATGTAGGAGTATGCGAGACTGCTGTCTTTCAACAATTCAATCTGTGGGTTTTTGAAGAGAAGCAGTGGTACTTATCCGTAAGAAGGGTTCAAACGCAAAGACCGGTGCACCTTGTCTGGGAGGAAATCCCAGAAAGTCTTCCAGTCTCCATCTGCAGGCATGCAAAGCATGCAAATCCGAGTATTGACTGTCCAGATAAAGACGTAAAGACGAGGTCAAGTGCCTACATAGTCCGTGGCCATCTTGTGCGTTTTGGGGTCATAGCCTCTGGACGAGTTTGATCTGGTTGGCCACATCTCCACACAAGCTCTGGGGCTCCAGCACGCTTGCGCGGGCATAATGGGACCCACATCCTCGGCCCAGCTTCGGCATTCGCCGCTGAGCCCTGTAAGAGGAATTTGGAGTCTGCTAAGGCTGCCACATGCGCCTGGACGGCGCCGCCCATATCCTGAGCCTCCATTGCAAAAGAAGATGTGCTCTGCACGGAACTGCTGGATGTGGTGACTGCGTTCCGTCTCCTTTCAATTAACAAGCCTTTTGCAAGGGCTCCTTTGTGAGCGCCTGGTCTGAGTACAATAGTAGTTTCCATTTTATTTTCCATTAGTCCTTTAAAACCCCAATATCCTACATTAGTTTCCATGTTACTTTCCATTATCCCTATACAACCCCAATAAAAGTCCTAGGCTGAAGTTGATGTGTGTTGAGGCTGGAGGTCGTCAGTGAACAATGCATGCATCTGCAAAATCCTGTGAGTCTTGAGAAAAAGCTGCAGGCAGTATGGTGCAGACCATTGATTAGTAACCCCCTCCCCTTAATAGGGATTATAATAGGGATCCTAATATCAAGGCCCTTAGAAGAAGGGAGTTTATACACGAATCTTGGAGCCACACTCCAAAGCTGCAACAAGCTGCCATGAGGACCCTGAGCCTCCATCCCCTCTTCCGCTGAAAACCTTAAGCTCTACCTAACTGTCGATACAAAAATCCTGCAGGAGATTAGTATACTATAGTAGTTGCCAGCTCATTTGCCATTATTCCTATAAAACCCCAATATACTATAGATGTGTCCATACTATTTTCCATCATCCCTATACAAGCGCAATATACTATAGCACCCTTACTCCCAAGCTTTAGAGAACCTAGAGTCATGCAGCAAGTTTCCGCCCAAGCTGCAACGATGTGTCGGCACGACAGCGCGTCATGCAAGGAATCAACCAAGGCTCCATAAAGGATCCGGTTACGCTAGGGTTATATTAGGGTTATATTGGGGCTATATTGGGGTTATATCGGGGTTGTATTAGGGTTATATTGGCGTTATATTAGGGTTGTATTGGGGTTATATTGGGGTTATATTGGGGTTATATTAGGGTTATATTAGGGTTATATTGGGGTTGTATTAGGGTCATATTGGGGTTATATTAGGGTAACATTAAAGTGATATTAGGGGATATATCGCTTATGTTGGGGTAATATTAATAGGGTTGTATAAGGATAACGTCAAAGAAAATGGACACTACGATTTAGGGTTTAGGGCTTACGGTAAAGGATCCCCAAAAAGGAAATCCACCCCAAAGTGACCCCATTGCCACACTGGGGAATCTAAGGCATTTTTTGGAAGGTCACATTTTTAGAGCTCTAAACCCTAAACCCTAAACCCCTGAACCCCTAAACCCTTATCCTTATGAGCTCCATTTTTGGATCCTTTAGGAAGTTTCAAAGCTCGAAGCTCACAGACACCAGCACTTCAAAGGCCAGCCGGGATTGCCTCAAGCTGTAGGGCTTAGAATTTGGGGTTTAGGGTTTGGGGTTTAGGGTTTAGGGCTTAGGGTTTTGGGCTTAGGGTTTAGGGTTGAGGCTTGAAGGTTTTTTGCTGTCAAACAAGGTAAACACCAGGGAAGAGTCAGAAAGAGGTGAAATCGGGGCTATGCAGGACTCTATGTGTATGTATATATATATATGTAGATGTCTATTCATTTACGTACTTATTAACATAGGTGGGTCAAATCTCATGGGATCCTGTACTACGCCCCCCTGCTCCCGCTCCCCCAACTAGGCCCTAGATGAACCCTGAAGGAACCCTAAACCCTAAAGGAACCCTAAGCAGGCCTTACTTGGGGTCTACTCGGGGGAGGGGGATTGGCGGGGGGCGTATAGGACCCATGATACGTGGGGTACATATGGATTATCGGATGTATTAGGATTCTCTATGCGCTCTATTGGGTGATATGGGGTTTCGGGCGAATGCATCTCTGATTCGAAGCTCAGCCGCCGGCGACAAGACCAAAGACAGCAGTGGTCAAGGAGCAAGCCAAAAGTATTGCACCAAAACGATCGGCGAATTCCTCCCAGCTGCTAGAATTTCCAAGTGTCCACGAAAACTCTTAGGCCCGACATGACCCGATCGAACCCCTTACATATCCCTACATCTGGAGATGATCCAATCTTACCCCTGTAGAAGCTCTACGTAAGCCCTAGAACCCCTCAAACCTCAAACCCTACACCCTAAATACTAAAAAAGCCGCTCATAGGATGGCACCGTCCTCGACTCGGACGTACTGCTTGCCTGGCCAGGCTTGGGGCCCGATAAAAAAGACCCAAAACACTTGGGTTTACGCTGTAGGGTTCTGGGCTTAAGGTTTAAGGTTTTTAAGGCTTACAATAAGGGTTTGAAATTAGGGTTTAGGGCTTCGGGCTTCGGGCTTAGGATTTAATTCAATACTCCTAAACGTGATCGAAACATGAAAATAATGGCTGTAACAACGACTACATGAAGACCAGTAGTAATTCTGACCAAAATCGTACTGAGGATGTTATTAACTATGAAAATAAGAAGGACACTAGCTTCCTGTACTTGACATACTGAAAACAATTCCTGTTACACAAGGTGATTCTTGTGGGGACCGGGAGAGCTCCCATTTCCAAAAATCCTGGACCCGAAACCCTGAACCCCTACTCTTGCTGCCATGCTACCGCCCGACTTGAAGATTCGGTTCCGCTTCCACTGTTTTACGCAGGCGTGGAAGAGCAGCACTAAGGATGCAACACCCACCTGGGCAGTATCTGAAGTGTATGATAATATATAATAATACGTTGTCGCATATCATTCTGCGTCTGATCTTGGCACATAACATGCATCCCTGCTGTCAAGTGGCCACAAGGCCACAAAGATCTGTTGCTGGCGAGGCAGAGGAAGCCATCATGACCTCAACAAGGACAACAGACCACCAAACCTGGGTAGCAGCTGGCCGACTTGGATCCTTTGACACATCGGTGACCGGAAAAGCTTCCCACAGCAGCGGTTGCCGCATAGACTGTCGACAGCTTCGCCTTGCCAATTCCTACAACACTGACATCCTGAGCGTTTTGCTTCAACTGTAACACTGTCCGGGCAGCCCAATGGATAAATGTTCGTTCAGTCGAGAACCATACCTGCACAGTCACTGCCACTGGCTTGTCCACTTGAGTACAATTCCAAATCAAACTCTACATAGCTACAGGTTATATTGGGGTAATACTGGGATAATGGAAAAGAAAATGGAAACTATTATATAATATATTAGAGTTGCATTGGGATAATGGAAAAGAAAATGGAAATTACTATGTAGTATGGAAACTACAACAAGAGGTCCAGCAGCGTAGCATAGTTGTAAGCCAACCCGCCTTTGGCTCCACCTTCACAGTTGGCATGGATGAATCCTCCCACGCACCTGGAAGCAATAGATACCTCTTGTTGTAGTTTCCATTGTCTTTTCCATTATCTCAATATTGCCCCAATATACTACTTGTAGTAGTTTCCATTTTCTTTTCCATTATGCCAATGTAACTCGAATATACTACATATAATAGATGGGCCAACCTTTGGAGCTGGCTGGCAACTCTTCCCGGGGCCCCCACAGCCAGGTGCTCAAATTGTGCTCAACCAATGTAAACTGCTGTCAATACAGACGCGAGAAGGTGAGCCATCATGGCATTGGATTTGTGGATCAAATTTCATACCGTCACTGGCAACTTACCCTGCTACTACGAAAAACGTCAATCAACAAAATTGATTCTAGTTTCCGCGTGTAAACATACATCTGGTTTGGAATGACACAAAATTGAACACCCCGTGATCATGCACAGAAGAGTCCAAGATTCAAGTTCACGTAGCCCACATGAGGTATCTCAACACGCCCGACTCGCCACGCCCCACGGCACAATTGTGCTTGCAGCCCCTCATTCAACATAGAACCAGTGTCTTGAGTCGAGAAAAATGGAACACTGGCAAATTTTGTTTCATACGTGCAAATGATGGTTGATTGAGAGTGTGGCCTCAGATCACACACTGAAATTCTCAATGAAGAACGTGGCTTGCTGTTTGGCAACTTTTCAAACACAAACTACGGAGGCATGTTCATACGTGATTCACGCAGACTTCGCTGCCGCTTGCACCCATTCGGCGCGAAACTTGTTTCAGCCATTGACAAGGAAAACTGACAATTTTTTCGTTGAGCCACCGTGTGGGATGCCAAAAGAATGAACATCAACAATCCAGCCGAGAAATCTCCATGCTTGCAGAATGTGGGACATACGAACTCTCAGACCTTGCTTACCACTGAAAACTGACCGGCCAGACTGCACACCTGCACAATTCTTCCAAAAATAACATGTCGAGGTCTCCAAACCTGCCTTGATGGCGCCTTGCGAAACCCAATTCGTACATGCCACATCACTTTTACTTGAACATTGAAGCTTTTTCAGCTTCGTCAATGGGCAGAAGCTTCTTAATCACCTTTTCCACCTTGGGACCACAGTGGCGGCAAGACCTTTTTACTTTTTGTTGAAATACTGCACAGGTGCCTAGATCCTTATGAAGTTGGTGACTTCGCTGTGTCAGCAGTTTGTAAACATTGTTTAGCGCACTTCGTCAGTTGGTAGCGCGGAGCCCTTCGTGTAGGTACCAGGTTCTACGGCTCCTTCGTGCTCCATTTCGATGACTATTCATCCAGTAGACGCACCAGATTCGATTCATTCTGTCGACGAAAAAATGATCGACTCTTGTCGTCTCCCCTCCTCCCCGTTTGGAACACTGCAAGCTCTCTCTTTTGTAAGATGCAATGCAATTGCAATACCTTTCAAATACAAGATTTGGAAAAGATCTGTGATCCTCCAGCGTGGCCTGGGTGGCAGTATCGGCGCCACTGGACACTGGCTGTTCGTCGGTGGAACAAGGCGACAGATGTGCCACTCTATCGTCGCGCTGAAAAGGTCTTGCGGTCCTTGGGCTGGGAGCTTCAGGCAGACTTTAATCACCTCTCTGAGGAGGATCTCCTGGCAGACTCCAACTTGGACCAGATTCTGGCGGTGCTTGACAGCAAGGCCGGAGTGAGAGATGGAGATGAGAGACGCAAGATCTACAAGGCGGCCTTAGTGATCAGAACCAGCAGAACCTCACGGTGCTGCTGGCGGGCAAGAACACTGATTCCGACCTCATGGCTAAGGCACTAGGCATGCTGGATGTAAGGGCGGACAGCATCATTGGCTTCACCACCGAAGGGGAGCACAACGACATGGGTGAGACCTTCGTCGCCACCAAGGAGGTCGGGGGTTGCCGCCGGGCTCGGTGTCGAGGTCGTAGTCGAAGGTGGCGTTTGTTGACGACGTGCCGGGAGTGTATTCTGATGGTGCTGTTGGCGCAACCTCGGGCTCGGTCTGCTTGTTCTTGGACTTGGCCTTGCTCTTGGCTCGGGGCCTGCTCGCGTAGGCGATGCGAGCTCCGCGCAGGGCCGCACACTTGCCACGAGGCCCACTGGTTGCCGCGCTTCATGATCCGGGAAGCCGGATGAAGGCAGGTTCCGGCTGCACTCTCCGGGGCGTTGCATGGCGAAGACGACCCTGCTTGTCCTTCTTAGCACCACCATCTGGAGAACTCCCACACATCCACCAGAACTCACTGGCACCAAAAGCCACGTGATCGATCGGCGCCTTGCCTCCAATGCCAGACAGAATGGCCTGAGCCTCCACTCGGACTGCGAATCCTGCCTGGGTGCTGTTTGAAGATGTTCATCTTGAGGACGACAATGTCAGACTGTGGAAGCCTACAACTCGAGCGTGGCCTGGCGTTCCTCTTCCCGAAGGAGTTCGAGAGATCAGGTGTGTTCGTGGGCGCCTTCAAGTTCCTGGGCGGCAGTCCTTCTGGCACGAGCAGTGTGGTCCGTGTGGTCAAGTATTCTATGCTGGACCTCGCCCTCCGTCGGAGCAAGAGAACAAGGCAGATGTTGTGAGATGGCTACTTCCGACATCCATGTGCAAGATTCTCCAACACTCTGGGTCAAGCGCAACCATCTCTGGGGTGGATCTTCAGGGAGAACCTCGATCGGATGGTCCGGTATGGGTTGTTGGCACTGCCAAGGGCGAGACATCTTTCTACATGTCCATGGAGATCTTCGCAGCCTCGTCAGTGATGGACGCTTTACACAATCACGGCGCGCGTGTTCCTCCCGACAAACAGCAGTTCCACGTGAGCCAGGGATGGCAGGTGCAGCAGGCGCAGCATAGACGGCGGTGTCGGGAAGCCTTGTCCAAGCATGGCCTCAGGTTCTTGCCGTGCAGCTGACTACCACGTGTGATGACAAGGTGCTAGGGAGACTACAACACAACTTCGCCAGCGAGATTATCCAGGAGCAGGTGGCCGCTGGTCGAGACGTCTTTGTGGAAGGAGAGCCACAGGCCTTCGAGGCTACTTCTGCACTTCAGCGACTACGAGATCACGGAGGACTACATGTGCGGAGTGTTCTGGACTCCGAAGGCAGCCGTGTGCAGATCTCGACTTTTCCTCTGGAGATCGAGCCCTTGGAGACCTTCTGCCGCGGACTTGGAAGAAAGCTTTCTGCAGGCAAACGATGCGGTCAAAGTCAGCTCCACCTCTGGATCGCTCCAAGAGTGCGAAGCCCAGGCTAAGCGACTTCTTCAGAAGCAGGACTTCTCCTTTCAAGCATGCGAGCAGCTGCTGATGCAGACCAACCTTCGTGGTCCCCGGGAGGGTCGTGAGTGTGTGCGGGGCAGCTCCCCAGGCGCCGGCAGCTACGTCTTCGGCATGTTTCAACACGGAGGAGTCTGGGGAATAACCAACAGATCCCGGCAACGACCTCATCTCACAAAGTATGTCAACGGCTTCTTGGACATGCATGGCGCAGACCGCAGGAGAGAAAGCTTTGCCATCAATTTCAACGTCCGCTCCAAAATCCACGTGGACTGTCACAATGAGGACGGTGCCTACAATTCGGTGATCACCCTGGGAGCACATCGCGGAGGTGAGATGTGGATGGATGCCAGATGCCAGCCACTTGGCGGGAGAGTTCTTCGACGAGAAGTTCGAGAGCTTGAGTCAGGTGAGCTGCTGGATGGACATGTGGTAGGAGTGCGTGAGAGGATGGCCTCCTTCGATGACGTCTTCTATGTCAACTTCGGCCTCTATCGCGTGCCCATCCTCAACATGGTGGATTCCGGCACGGGATATCACATCACTCAGCAGCTTCCAATAGTCGAAGAAGGTCAAGGTGGCACTCCCACGTCAGACGCTACATGGAGAGCATTTCTGGCGACATGGGTTCGTTTTCTTGGACCTCCCGGAGTGCTGGTGTGTGACTCTGGATCGAATTCAAAGCTGCTTTTGAGCGTGGATGTGAAAGTCAGGGAATCCTGCAACATGTTGTCGAGCCAGAGAATCCATGGCGTAATGCCATGGCCGAGAGGCATGGTGGATTTCTGAAGGACAGACTCGAACAGGAGCTTCTAGCAGGCGGCAGCATCATCTAGGACTGGAGCGACCTAGACGACTTCCTCCACGAGCTCACCTCCACGAAAAATCGCTCAGCTGGTGTTTGGACAACTCCCAAGGATGCCGGGAGAGCTGCTTTCCGATGATCATCTCGGTCTTCTGGCGCTACAAGACTCACCAAGGACCTCTTCGACGTGGATCAGGCCAATGCCGAGTATAGTAGAAGCCTTGCCATTCGAGAGAAAGCAGGACAAGCAGCCATGGCTCAAGCTTCACGAGAGGCGGTCAATCGCGCGGTGAAGGCCTCGACTCATCAATTCCGAGACTGGCGTTCTGGCCAATGCGTCTATGTTTACCGGCGTGGGAAGGCTGGCAATGTCCTACATCCTCGTGATGGGTTGGTTCAGGAATCATCGTGGTGGCGAACAACAGCACCGTCTACGGAGAGGAGACCACAGTGACGCCAATGGCAAGGACTCCCATGTCATCCCGAAGATCAAGTGTAACTGAGCCAGCCGGAGAATCTGGACACCTTGAGCCCAAACAAGTCCGACCAAGGATGCTGTCCAAAGACCGCAAACGAGATAAAACAGCTCAGTTGTAAGCAAGAAAGAGTTCGAGGGCCGACGTGGTCTCCCACTCGACCTCATCACTGGCCTGGAACTGTTTCTGCTCGTCCTGAGGGAAATCCTTGAGGTTCACCTCGTCCGCTCGCTTGGCCAGGAAGGTCATCTCCGTCGACAGGGTTCAGAGTCTCGTCTTCTTGGCAGAAAGTGGCGAAGGAGCCAGACTACTCCTCGATAACAAACATGGAGTAGAGCTGCTCGTCATCACGGGTTGAGGGACTCGATGCTCGCCACGACTCTCTCTCTCGGGGCCCAACCAGATGCTTCCCACGCTTGGATCTGCACCAGGCAGTTCTTCGGCT